CGAGGCCATGTGCGGCAAGCATGGGCTCGGTGGCCAGACCGGTCGGATGCCCAGCTGGCGAGGAGAACAAATTAACTTTTGCCAAATCGGCAGCTGAGTGTCCGAACACACACATTTCCTTGCACGGAGGGGCACCAATCCAGATTGGTGCCTCTCCGTGTGGGGGCACACACCTTTTTAGGGACATCAGGTCCAAAGCAATGCTCATACCAAATTAAATTCAGTAAAGTAACTAGGGAGAAAAGCTTTTAGCTACCCCTTAATTCCAGGTGGCTTAACCACAACCATGTCGATACGGAGGGTTTTGTTCATTACCCAAATAGCCCGACGTAAAGTTCATAAGCCTTTGTTACGTATGTCACACGTAGCAAAGGGGTGGAGGAAAAACCTGGGGGTCAGATAGGTACCGATCCAGAATGATTAGCTCTTCTGGAGCGAGACCGGTTTGATCTTCGGTCATGTGGATCCCACTGATTAGCAGTGGTATACACATGACACTAGGGGTTGGGTTGAACGCTTCGCGTGTGTATGTGTGTGTGTGTGTTGAGAGATTGTCCAATGATAACACAAGTCATCAATAATTGATATATAAGTGCATACCAAATTGATCCAACTAAACCATAAAACAACACAAATAACACAAAATGCAAACAACCAAACAATGTAAGGATATAATACTACTGCCGAATATCGTATCGAAATACTAAACGTAAACAGAAAACGCATTTCTAGATCTAGAAAAACATTGTTTTAAAATTCGCAAAATTGTAATTCTCAAACGTTTCAAATATTTCAATAGTTACTTATTATAGTTTATAGTCACCATAAAAGGTCGGGACACCGGAAAGGATTAAGTTTATGTTTATAAAAGTGGCAGATATGAGATGATAGTTGTCGAAATGCCGAATATGCCTATTTAAAAATTTGCATTCATTTAAACTTGGTCATTTTACCACATTGGTCATTTTATTTTAATCAATAGTTTTTAATATAAAAACACCGAAAAACATGTTGTCGTACAAAAGTAATGGGCCATTTGGCGCGTCGGGCTCTCTAAATATGTCAAATTTATGGAAGAAAAAAATGTATTACCACACAGCTGTTTATAACACAATTCATCATAAAAACTGTTTAAAAAATTATGGTAACCTTGTCGGACAATTTTCACGGGGCATGTGCGCAGTCGGACGCGCCAAAGATGTCAATTTTATGAAACAATTTTATTTATTACCACAGATAAATCATTTGTCTGACAAAAACAATGGGGCATATTGATACAATTTAAAAAAAAAGTAATTTTTTTTTTGGAAATGCGTATGTCTAAATTACACAGGGTTTGTGCATGCCTTAATTTTACAACCATTTTTCCAACACTTATACGAAGTTTTAAATAATTATATTTAAAATAAAAAAATCTAATTGTCCGACAAAAATGTTGGGGCAAACGAACAAAAAAATAAATTCTTATTGGATATCGCCGTTCTTAAACTGTAAAGGTGAGTTTATGCTTATGATTTTCTATATACATATTATATGTAATAAAATTTACTTGTCCCTGTAGTTTAAATATCTATTTTTTTTTTATTTTAGAATTAAAATCTCCAAAAAATATAACTTAGTCATGTATCACATATGTCAAATGCCTGTTAATTACAACGTTGTAGTCCATTGCACTAACTCAGATATACCAGTAATTATTTTTGCAAATATAAAGTATTTACAAGCAGAGATTAAGATCACAATAAATATGCTTTCAAATAAGAAAACCGAGTATTTAAATACCAACAAAATTTTCGAAAAAATTGGTGACAAATTAGCAAGAACACTAACGACTTGTCACATATTTACTGGTAATGATTTCAATCCAGCCTGTTACAAAAAAGGAAAGAAAAGATCTTTTTCAATTTAAAAAAAATGTAATTCGTATCTAGATGCTTTTGTAGAATGACGATGCTAGAAACTTTTAAATCTATTGAAGATTATGTGTGCCGAGTATATTACTTTGAAAACAAAAAAAAAGATGTCGATCAAGGTAGATTTGAAGTATTTAAAAAAAAGTTTAAAAGTATAGACGGAAATGAAAAAATTTTGAAGAAAAATTTGTTAGGGTTCGATGCATCTAATCTTCCACCAACAAAAAGAGAGCTGTGGCAACACGTAAAAAGAACGATTTACATCAGTAACGTGTGGTGATGGCGCGCAATGTCCCACATTTGACGAAATATCTGCTTATTCAGGTAATATATTTAGAATTAAATTTAAAATCTAATGAATTACGATAGATTTTCGGCTTTTTCTATATAAGATTTTTTATTTTAAAGATTTTTTTGACATTATGTGCGGAAAATCCATGTATTACGCACCATCAACTATAACGACCTTTTACGTACTGGTTGTATTCCCGGTTTCACGCATAACCGGCTTAACTCACCCTTGGCCCTTTGATGCAAACTCATGTTTAAAATCAAAACCCCTTGTCACGTAATATACTATTTTTGCATTTGATAAAAATTAAACTATTATAATTAAAAAATAATGAAAACAATTACTTCTAATAAGTTATTTTTTAAATTATTTCAGTTGAATCACTTTCAAAAGAGTCCATTAAATTTATTATGTAATGTTTAGTTTACAGGATCCATTTCTAATGATCCAAATGATTGGGAGGCAAATAGATCGTCCGATGAAAGTGAAGACAAAAAGATAGGGGATTTATCCGCCAGTGATTCCGAAAGCTAGTCTGATGAGAATGATAATTATTAATTGAATTTTTGTTCTAATATTAATGTTTTTTTTAATCTATTATTATATTTAATAATTTTTTTTTTCACTATATATGAATGTATAAAATAAGATGTATTAACTCACCTTTACAGTTTAAGAACGGCGATATCCAATAAGAACTGATTTTTTGTTCGTTTGCCCCAATATTTTAGTCCGACAATTAGATTTTATATTTAAAAATGCAATTAATTGTAACCCCCTACTTTAGTCGGAAAATTGGTTGTAAAAATTAGGGATACACGAACCATACATGGATTAACGACATCGATTACGAATAAAAATTCCGTTTTTTTGTCCGACTATCGATTTGCCCTAATATTTTTGATAGACAATTTGATTTTTTGGTTTAAAATATAATTACTTACAACCTCTTTTTTACGTTTTTTTTTTTGTATACATAGTTAATTCACTACTACATGTGATACTTTTTTTTCTTATTTGTTTCATTCAGTAGCAAATTAACATCATTTCGATCCAAGTTAGCTGCCTTGTTCGATTTTTTACTTAGTATTGGAGAACATTGATCAAAAATGTCGTCAAAGTTATTGATATTTGATTTTTCTAACTTGCTTTTTGAGATCTCGCTTATATCTTTTGTAACTCCAATTATCGTACTATTAACAATATTATTGCAAACTTCTAAATTTGTTGAAAATTTTGGTTCAAAAATTTGATCTCTTAGACTTCTATTCATACATATTGCATTATTCTGAACATTACCAACATCTTCTCCCTGGTTTGCAAAAAATCGCGACCGTATTTGTTGTTCTTTGATAATACTTAATAAATTTAACTCATTTTCTAAAATATTTTCAAGTTGCAATTTGTTTAAAATCGACTCTAATATAATAAGATGTTGGTAATGTTCAGAATAATGCAAGATGTGTGAATAGGAGTCTAAGAGATCAAATTTTTGAACCAAAATGTTCAACAAATGTAAAAGTTTGCAATAATATTGTTGATAGTACGATAAGTGGAGTTACAAAAGATATAAGCGAGGTCTCAAAAAGCAAGTTAGAAAAATTAAATATCAATAACTTTGACGACATTTTTGATCAATGTTCTCCAATACTAAGTAAAAAATCGAACAAGGCAGCTAACTTGGATCTAAATGATTTTAATCTGGTACTGAATGAAACAAATAAGAAAAAAAGTGTCACATGTAGTAGTAAATTAACTAAGTATACAAAAGAACGTAAAAAACACACTGACAATATTACTCCTTTTTTGTCGGAAAAATGGTTGTAAGTAAAAATGTTGCATAAAATTGACATCTTTGGCGCGTCCGACTGCGCAGATGCCCCGTGAAAATTGTCCGACAAGGTTACCATAATTTTTTTAACAGTTTTTATGATGAATTGTGTTAAAAACAGCTGTATGGTAATAATTTTTTTTTCCATAAATTTGACATGTTTAGAGAGTCCGACGCGCCAAATGGCCCATTACTTTTGTCCGGCAACATGTTTTTCGGTGTTTATATAATAAAAACTATTGATTAAAATAAAATGACCAATGTGGTGGTAAATTTTTTTTTTAAATAAAATTAACATGTTCCTGACAGTTTCACAGACAAACGCCCTACTACCATATTGCGCCAGGCTCTAAATTTGTCCTACTCCACCCAAATAACAACTGAAAAAAGTTTGGAGAGTGTGTTCATAAAAAAAAATTAGACGGGGGCCCAAAAACTATATGTTTTTAAGATTTCTAGGCACTGCTTAAAAAACGTTGCATCTGCATGAGTAAAATAATATAAAATAACACATTTTTACATATATTAGACGATAAGATGGGGCCCCCGATATATTGGGGCCCTCCCGCAAGCTTCTTGCCGCGGGGGCCTCTGTTACGTCTCTGGTTTCCATACTATGAGCGCGATTTCTTGGATTTTTTAAGAAATTATTGATTGTCCTAGGTAAGATGTTACTTATAACAGTATAAGCTCATATATTATATTCATAAGCTCATACATTATTATGTTATCATCATTTACGAATATTTCATTCAAAAATTTTGATGATGTTTAAATTTTGTCAAGATATTTATAATACCGGAGCCTGCTTCTTAAGGCAACGCTTTATATCTACAGTTAGACTTATTCATAATTTGCGCAATCTCGTATTGAAAAATAATAGTACTAATAAATCTGACGTAGATAGCTATTGTTATTATAAGATTTTCCAAGACTAGTTGTTTTTTTAAATACAGCGCGTACTATGTTTGTGATCTTTCTTATTTTTACTTTTATTGCGAAGTTACATGCAGTTGACCAAGGTAAGTTATGTTATTTTTATTTTATTTTGAAAATCAGTTGGGTTTTAAAATAAATATTTAAAAGTGAATGAAAGTTTAGCTATGCCCTAAATAGAACTTAAGTTTACGTTTTTACCAACAACTTATAATAGCTGTGATTGCAAATATGTCCAACAGTGTGATCACACGTTAATCACTAAATATAATACACCATTCCTACATCTTCCCATGCAAACCTGTAGCAGTGAAAAGCAGTGCTGCAGGTCATGTTTGGATAGGCTGTTAGGTAGATGTGCCGATTTGTCCTTTATCTTTTGGCGATTTCCTTTCAATTACAACTTGATTTTTTTATTCTTCTTTTTATTCTTTTTCTTTTTATATAGACATGACTCTGTCTGTTTTTCAATGTGCCTCCAGTAAGATGTCATTCCATCGTTTTCGTGGTCTTCCTACTGATTGTCTTCCTATTGGGGAACCGTCTATTGCCGTCTTTACTACTCTATTTGTTGTCATTCGGCTTATATGATCATTCTATTCTACTTTTCTATTTCTTACCCAGTTTTTGATGTTCTTCGCCAGGCATCTATGTCGTATATCTGTACTTCTAGCTCTGGCGCATAGTGTCTTACCATCAATTTTTCTAAGTGTTTTTATCTATGCTATTTCTAACATCCTTTTTGTTCTCTTTGTGTCAGGTCTTGTTTCTGCCGCGTATGTCATTATTGGTCTGATAACTGTTTTGTAAGTTCTGCCTTTAGTTTCTTTCCCGATATTTTTATTTTTCCATATTGTTTCATTTAGGCAGCCTGCGGCTTTGCTTGATCTATTCAGTTAATCTTACACTTCGGTTTTGAGCTTTCTGTAGCTAGATAATGTGATGCCTAGATATTTAAACTCCATCACTTCTATTATCTGACCTTCCGGCTTCAATTTACATCTTAGTAAATTTGATGTTGTAACCATGCATTTTCTGAAACCATGAATTTTCTGGGGGTTATATTAAATTGGTGCAGCATACGTTGTAAATTATCTTCACTTGGAGGGAGTAGTATTGCGTTGTCTGCATAGCAGATTATTTTAAATTGTTTTTCTCCCATTTGGTGTCCTTTTTTTGTTTTTCCTTTTTTTATTATTTCATCCATAATCAGGTTAAACAATAGAGGATTCAGGAAATCTCCCTGTCTTATCCCATTGCCAGCTTCAATAGGGTCGGTTAGTTCTTCTTCTAATTTTTCCTAGATTATTCCTAGAGGTATCTCTCTTGCATACGGTGTTGTAAGTGGATAACGTCTTTTAATTTAACCCAGTCAAATGTCTTTGTAAGGACCGCGAAGCATAGATATGGCGGTTTGTTGTATTCTAATGACTTCTCTTGTCTCTCTCTTCAATCCTGACTCCCCAGGGGGAGTGTAGTGGTCGACGTGATGTCGTGTATTGTCCGTCTTTTAATTTGTGCATAGGTCTTTGGAATATTCCTGTAATTTGATCTATCCATCTTGTTGGGGATCTTCCTCGTGATCTTCGGTCTTCTACCTTTGCTAGTGTTTCTTTTTTATTTGTCTACCTAAAGTATTCGTTTCATTTCGTTTATAGTGGTTGTATGCCTGTTGTGTTTGTTGTGTTCTGTATTATAAAAAGGCTTTCTTCTTTTCTTCATATTTTGTCTTCACTTTCTTTCTAAACCATGTTGTTTTCTTTTTGATATGTTAGTGTTCGTTACTTTTCTCTCTCCAAGTGATTCTGTTGCTGCGTTAATTATATTATTTTTGAGTGTTTCCCAGCTTTCCTCGATGTTATCGTTTCCTAATATTTTATTCCCAGCGATCTTCTCGGATATTTTTTTCCTGTATAACTATTCCCTCGATTATATATTTAGTCTTTCGACTTTGATTTTTGTTTGTGTTGGCGCCGCTCTCTTGGGTGAGACGTATTTCAGGAGTATTCTTATTTTACATAATATTAGGCTATGATCGCTACCTACATCTGCTAAGTTTATTGATCTTACGTCGATTATTTTTGACGGGTGTATATCTCTGTTGGTTATAATATAATCTATCATAGATATTTGTCCATGGGTGTTATTAAATGAATAATTGTGTTGGTCTTTGTGGTCAAAAAATTTGTTGTTTATTCTTAGTTCGTTATTCGTGCACAAGTTGATCAGCAGTTCTCCTATTTCGTTTTTAAGATTCTCGTTATGTTTTTGTTTGATGTCGGGTATTACTTTTTTACGGGATTTTTTATTGAGAGATAAAATGAATTTCTATCAAATAACGGTCAAATCAATGCTACATATTGAATGAAATGCAATGAAACATATTGCTAAATCTAACGAATTAAGTGGATACTTCATAACTTTGATTTAATACCATTTGGACCAAATAGTCTATAACATAGTGCGTGTTGTGAGCCGGTATATTCCGATAGATTATCTAGATGTTTTCACTGAACATTTGGTAAACGTATAGATCGTTTTTTTTTCTTAGAATTTTCTCTTGAAGTCTTCGTAAAACTTTTAAATGGTAATATTCGATAAATATCTAACCTTATGAAACCCATAAATCGAGTGTGAATAAATCGCGTAAATCTAAGAATGAGTCAACATCGCCTTAAATGTGGACTTGCTCATTTTTCAAAAGTTGTCACTGTCATAAGTTCTGACGTATGGTACTATATACAATCTGTATCTAAAATGTTATGCAAAGTTCCGGTAGTAGTTTCCGATATATAGGTAGTGCAAGCTCGTCGTGGCACATCCTGTATATGCATATATATATATATATATATATATATATATATTTACGGCATAAAGTGAACTCCGCCCATGTTAAAATTCAGGTTCAAGTGAGCTCCGTGGTCAAGTGGACACCGATATACGGAGCTCACTTGTCCATTCCATAATATTGGCTCTGTGGATTCGTTAAGATGTATAGTTTCATAATTCTTAATAAAATTTTGGAGCTCATAAGTACCCCTGTATCATAAATGTATTTCGCTTAGTTCACGTGTATATATTATAGGGGTCGTTCAGATCTTTTTCACTGTATATTGGAACCATAGGAATATCGGTTTAAGTAAGCTCTGATAGTTTGGCAACTATGCACTTAGGCCAGCGTTCTTGATATATATATTTTATATATTTTAAACGGTTCATACGGACTCCTTTTCATACGCATTACAATATGTAATCTTCTTCTTCTTCTTGATGTGCCTATCCGTTATGAATGTTGGCGATCATATTGACAATATGTAATAGATATGTATAATACCAAATACCTGTTTTTGGTAGGTACCTGCTATTCTAAAAATAGCTTTATAAATACAAAAGGATTTCATTACCAAGTTGGACGTGTTTTTTCATATGCGAATATTTCCTAATGTATTTTGTTAACATGAATATGCCTTTATACGTTTTATTTAGGAATACGATTAATAAGAACTTTTAGTTAATCCATTGTTTTACGATATCTTGTATACAGCTTCTTTATTATTTTATTTCTGGTTTTATCTGTGTACTACATATAATTTTGGATAGGTTATCTTAAAATAAATATTTAAGTGCAAAAATAGATATTTTTATGTAAAAATTGGTAGTAGTGCACAAAAGAGGGAAGAATGCTTAATTTATATAAGAAGAATGTACCAGTTCACCAATATTACATACTTCTAAATGTTTTATCTGCTATTTAGGGGTAATATGTAATCAATAAACGTGGAGTTAGTGTCAAATTTGCAATAATCTTTGGTCAATTTTTTCTCGATTTTAGTCATAAATTCAGCTGGTATTCGTTGATTGGATGTTGCGATTCTAGACTCTGTATCTTTTATTCTCTAGCAGTCTAGCTACTTATCTTCGGATATTAGGTGAATTGATAGCTACGATATTGTAGAGCTTATGTATGGATGTGTGTGTGTGTGTCTTAATATTCGCTGAATTTGGCTGTCTAATTTATAGCTAAATCTACGTGTTAAATATGTGTTGGTGTCATCCATACTTGCAAGGTATATTCGGTAGCAGAAGCATAGAGTGCAAGCGTCTACGTTTTAAGGATGAAAGGATGCTTCTTATTTTTAGCTGACAAGTTTGCAGAGATTATTTTTCTGGTCCTCAGTTTGCCTTTTAGTTTTAAACAATGTTCTATGAATGACAAAGTGTGATACAAACTATCTTCAAGGTATTTATAGCAAGTCCAGAGTTTAAAAATTTCATGACACTATTGGGTGTTTAGATTTTTAAAAGCAATTCTGTTAGGGACACTAAAGCAGGACATCTGACTTTTTCTGAGGTTTGGCTTAAAATTGATTCATAGTCTATTTTTATTGTGTTTAAAGTATGATTTAGATTTTTCTATACTTCAGCAACAAAAGTTTTTGGTTGTGCAACAATATCGATGTATCGTCTACATAATAAAAGTCCTAGTATTTACTGGTATGGGTTGTGTAAATATTATACAGTGTAGGTACCATTACGCTATTTCAAAGGAGACCGTTCTTCTGCGTTTTCCATCTGTTATTTTTACCATTGAATGATACGAAAAATCTTCTGTTGTGTAGGCATACCCGGACAATACAAGCCATTGTTGTATTTTTGATCCAAATTTTAGAATTAGTTTTGTGCTCAGATCTTTAGTCAGGAGCCGTAATATTGTTCATTAGGTATATACGTAGATAGCAGATCCAAGCTCAACACCGTTGAAAGATTCCCTTAGCTGACTGGTTTTGTCCCCTCTCATTTTAAGTTTTTCTTTTCTTGTTTGCCTATGTTTGGCCCTCAATGTGTTTCCTGCACTAGAAATACGTCACATTTGTGTTAACCGCATATGTCTGATAAAGTTAAGTAAAGTAAAGTACCTATCTTTATCTCTGGATATTCCCTTCTCTAATGTTTATATACATAATTAGGATAGTTGGCATTAAAAAGGCCGATTTGGCCGATCTTTAAACCCTATAAAATATGGCTAATCTTTTACTTTTCATTAAAAATTTTAATTTTACATACTGTTACTTTTAGACAATATTTC